AATTCTTACTCAAACTTGTAGTTCAATATTTTTTTTTTAAAAAAAAAAAAAAGATTTGATAAAAAAAAAAAAAAAAAAAAAAAAAAAAAAAAAAAAAAAACCGTCCACCTTCACCCAAGATCTTAGGCTCGTTGGTTTTTTTCACGTTGATTTAATTGTTCTAAAAGTTGCGTAAACAAAGAAGCAACTTAAAACACGTATATATGACACAAACCGTGTTCACAAATTCGGCGATGCTAGGCGAGATGTTGTAGTTGCCCTCGCACCAGTCCACCGGCGAGCTGCCAGCTTCAAAGGGTTTCCACATGTTCGAATGTGTTTTTAATTATCTTCTTCGTATTCTTCTTTTCAAAATACTCAATATATATAAGAGCTGTGTTAAAATCTCTCAAGAGATTCCGCAGCAGTAGTCATCGCTCATCTCACGAACACGAAACAGACACTCCGTTGAGAAGATATATATATACGTACGTACACGAAAAAAAAAACACGTAAAAATCGTTTGTTCGATCCGATCTCTTCTCGAATTTTCCGAACGTGATTGTCTTTTGGAACGATCGGCGATCCCAAACTAAATACTGGTCCTATTTCCGCAACAACGGAGAGAGGGAGAGACAAAGCTCGTGTGCGTTTGTCACATTACGATTGTGTCAACAGATTTGGAAAGAAAGATCGTGACTCGTTGCGCGAGTCGTTTGTTCGATGCACAATCGAAAACGAAAACAACAAAGGCGATGACGAACCTTCTTGTATGCGTGCGCAGTAGCGTCGCACATGTTGCGAAGTTAGTGAACTGTCACGCGCGTACAACACCAGGGTCTTCAAAAGCCCCTTGGCACAATGGAAGGCGAATAGCGATGGCGATAGAAATAACACAGTTTTTTTTCAGACACAGAATTTCCAACTCGTCGGAAATTTTTGTCTAGCTATTGCTTGGTTCTGATTTTCTGATCCGCATTGATACACGTGTATTTTTTGGTTGACGTTAGATTCCGCTGTTCTCTCCTACCGTTATTTATAAATATAAACTCTTTACAACTGATATCCCGAGAAAAAATGGATTAAATCTAAATGGATATCTAATTTAAATCTAACGAGATAAGAAAAATGGAAAAATAGATCTAATTAGATCCAAATTAAATCTAAATGGATATATAAAGTAGATCTAAATAAATACAAGCAGAGATCTATTAAATTTACACCCCTTTATATATTATTAAATCTACTTTAGATCTACTCAGATCTATACTATAATTAAAACTAAAAATGGATTAGATCTAACTTAAATTTAACGAGATAAAAAAAATGGAAAAATAAATCTAATTAGATCCAAATTAAATCTAAATGGATATAAAGTAGATCTAAATAAATATAAGCAGATCTATTAAATTTACACCCCTTTATATATTATTAAATCTACTCTTTAGATCTACTCAGATCTACTATAATTAAAACTAAAAATGGATTAGATCTAATTTAAATCTAACGAGATAAAAAAAATAGAAAAATAGATCTA